TAGTCAATGGACTTACGGGAAGAGGAGGAAATTAATTGGGTGGTGATTTTGGAGCTGGAAGAAAGGCCATGAAGCATAACATGGGAGTGAATTTGTTGGAGTTGAAGTATGGTTTTGGAGGCATGGATGAGTGATACAAAATGGGTTTCGATTGAATTTTCATTTTGACTCGGATTTGAAGCGGAATTGATGAAATTTTGATTTGGTTTCTTCAAGTGGTTACTTATGGAGGGAATGACAGTTTTTAATTGAGAGACACTACGACCATTACTCATTGAAGTGCAAGTCTTTTGGAGGGTTTTGGCTTTGGCTCTGTTGAGGCCTAATATATCAGTTCGATTGATACGAAGCTCTCGAATGTCTAATGATCATCCACACTTTTTTTAACCTTAGGAGTTAGAATATCATAATGTTTTGACAACCTAATTATTGAATATCGATTCGACTCTTCTTAAGTTAAATGAGGTGATATGTATTAGAATTTAGAATTGAAAGTTTGGATTTTTTTTCTCAGATCTAAACCCATAATCGAAAAATCGAATCAATGACCAAAAAATGGTTCATTGATTGGTCGTTAAGTGCTATCATAAAACTATTTTATTTGTATTATTTTTAATTTATATTTCATTTTTTCATTTAGTTTTGTTGGCTTGAAATGAAGATTCAATTGGATGAATGGGAAATTCGTCCATGGTTTGCTATTATTATTTACTTTAAGATCACTCATATATGTTGGTGAATGATTTTATTAGACAATATGTTATCCATGTTTTTAAATTTGGACTATTTTGTATTAAGATGAAACATATCATTTGCTAGGTGGTTGTGTTTTTCATAACATTAAGAGAATGAAAATAATTCCTAAATTTTTAAATTTTTTATTTTAATGTACAATGCTGTTTCAAGTGTTTGGTAAATTTAAAAAAAAAAAAAAATTATAAAGAAATTTGTACTATCTAGCAGCGTATTTTGAAAAACAGCAAAATGATCATTACTCCTAGATTCAAGTTTTAACTGCTCCAATAATTAATAAGAATTAAACTATTTGTACGATGAATTTGCACAATGATTTTGACAATGTGTGAGTGCTATTGAATTCAAAAACAATCTTTAAAATCAATGGACATAATGTCTGCCAACTCACACATTGTCAAACGTATTGTCAAATTCATTGTACAAGTAGCATAGTTCAATTAATAAACATATTCTAAAATAAATTAAGAAACCAAATTGCTGCAAAATTTATGCATAAAAATAAATGTAACTTTATATTAGTATTTTTCTAATGGAAAATGCCTTTTTTTTGTTGTTTTATAAACTATGATACTTAATATTTTTATTTTATAGTAATTATAGTGAATACATTGTCTAGCAAAAATATTTGATAATAACACATAGTGTTATAAAAGTAAAAATAAATTTTAAAATATTATTAATGGATAATAATAATAATACAAAAGGGTATAAGTGTTCATTTTAGTAATTAATTGTATGCATGCACACATCAATTAATCACATATGTTTATTAAACACTAAAATGTTGATTTTGAACCATTGAGCAATTCTGAAACAAAAGTTTAGCAAATAATTAACTGCTTCTTTTGACAATTGATTATTTCTTCAGGTAAAAGCTGAATCTTTTATCACAACAGTACCAAACCAATCCCATGTCAAACTAAACGAATCGTTTATAGTTAAGTCCGATTAATTTATGCCTAAATTTTATGTTTTACTAAATTTATTTTCAATCATACATTCTCTCAACAAATAATTTGCATATATACTCAAAATTTTTGTTTGCCTTTTAGCCACACATTCTCTAAGAAAACATTGTATTTACAAAATCTATTTTCAAAAAATGGGTTGAAAGAGGGGCATTAATTCATGCAAGTTCATATAAATTAATATTAGACATTCCGCCAAAAATTCGAATCTTCCGATGGCGGGTTTTCATTTGGCGTTACCAAACGAGACCATCTTAATAAGAAGGAACGGGTTACTGAGAGAAGATGGTGCAGATGATGGGTGAAGGAGAGTAGTTGGCATGCTTTGTTTACCTGTAAGGCAGCTCAGGCACTGTGGAAAATAATGGGGGTTGTGGGACAGGGTGAAGAAGCTAGTGAAACACGTTTAGATCGTGTTGTCCGGGGTTCTTGCCAATTCATTCTTCGTAATGAGAATATGGCATCCCCTGTGCTTTCATCACAAGCGTGTTTAGTTGATGGTTCGTTTGTTTGAACTGATTGTATTATGTAGCTACAGTCGAGAACTGAATCAAAATTGTCCGATTTTCACTTCTAGAAACCAAAAACGTATAAATTTTAACTAAAATAGACATAAACCCTCTTGTTCGATTCTTATGTGATTCAAGTGGTTCCAAGGAAAAATACCCACACCTTAAAATTTCTCGACTCCTCTCATCGCCGAACTGGGTTACAAGCAAGTTACCTCTTTCATATATCTCCCCCTTGCCTGAGTTTTTATGTATAGAGTTCTGGGAATAGCAACTAGACCATATATGGACCCTTTTATCTTCTCTTAATTAGATAAAATGCAAATCATAGAGCAGGTTCTTTAGTTGCAGAACAGTGATCAAGGAGAGGATAATCTTTAAAATATTTTTTATTTAGAAAATATTTTTTCAAACACAAGGTAAATTATCAATTTACAATGGTTCCCATCCGAGTAATAAACCAAAGTACTCGAAAATAAGATTCAGAAAACAGCAACACTCCAGAATTTGAAAAAGTTTAGATCATAGAACTCCAAAGAAAGGATTATTTATTGCACTGCTTAGCTCATTCCCAGCAGACTGAAGTACCGCAGTGTCAACTTTTTCCCTTGGCAGATACAAAAATTCACCCCCTTCAATTTTCTCGAACCCACAAAGCTCCAGAAATTCAATGCCCCCTTTCAGATTTCCAACTCTATCCTGTTAATAAGTATGGCGGCCAGCAATTATGAGAATCAAACGTAAAAGAACTAAGAGTATGATTCATTAAAATCGAAAGGAAAAACAACGAGAACACTACTCATTTGCATCATCTGGAAGGGGAAGGAATTTATGTTTTAAAAAACAATAAGAACAGCATAATCGTTTAACCTGAAAAGCCGGATTGCTGAGTTTAATTTTGCGGAATTTCTCCTCGTTTGGATTTGTTGCAACATTTTTTGCATAGGTAAACAGTGTGTTAAAAGCCGTCTTCACTTTGGCATCATTATCCTAATTCATCAACAGTAGATAAAAGAGCAGCTCGGTCAAAATAAACTTCACCTGTGACTTGGTGAAATCTATCGCAACATCAAATCAGTTTAAACATGGTTAACCAGAATAAACAGAAATCCAAATGTGAAAAACAGCAGTTGCAAAACTCAAACTATCTTCATTTGGAAGAACTATGCTTTGATCTATATATATAGAGAGAGATATATTTCCCCTCATAATTCAAAGTGTTTCTTCTTCAACCTTGAAGATATTTCTGATCAAAATGAATTTTCTTATCATAGTTAGATCTTGCATTTTGTATCATAATTTAGGGAAACGTGTCTTCTTCAAGTTTTTTTATTTCTTTTTTGGTTTAGCATAATAGGCATATAGATATCTGGTCATTTATATTTATCAGCTATTTTATCCTCAATATCATATTAGTACCATGCTTCCTTTAACTGATCACAAACTAAGTCTTCTCATTCAATATAACAAACAAACAAGAACCATATAAATAAAGCAAACATTACTTTATGATTCTGTTTAAGGTTTCGTAGGCACTCTCTCATTTGTTCTGCCTTTGTAGCTGGCCTGACAGGTAATGAGCTCTGCAGTTTGGTATTGAAAAGGAAGTTTATTCAGCCACGATTTGACAGCAATTGATAGATGATAGAGTAGACCATATTTAATAGCATAGTCAGACAAGTACATACTTTCTTTTCCTCCACAGGAGGAGGCGGAGCAGACGGTTTTACAGCAGCAGGATCTTCTGGAGGCAATCCAAGCTTCCGTCGTCTTTCAGCCTGTTAAAACAGAAATGCACTGTTTCAAATACTTCATGTAATTTATAGATAATTTGGGCAAGGAATTTGGTATTTTTAGATTCCAAGCATAACCTAATGACATATTTTATATTGTTAAACAGGTTAGTGCATTGTTTACAGCCCCATCAGAGGATTGCCGATCAAAAAATACAGTTTCTAAATCTTGAACTCCATTAACATGGTCACCAACAAATCAGCCAAACTTACTCTAATTTCTTGGCTCCAAACAGCTGCAAATATTTTTTTTACCTCAAACTTATACATGACCAATACATATAACAAATTTGTTGGCAACCAATCCATGACTAAGCAGCTGTATTCAAAAGTATTTTTAAGGTTGAGTGAGTCATAGCCTGCAGGGTCAGTGATTCATTTTCCAACCATGGAATTAAATACCACATTATATTGAAAGAATCTATCAATGATGTGATCAAGGGACAATAACAGATGGAATCATGGTATCTGACAATTGTCATCTACCATGCGAAATGCTTAGATGGTCTGAAGAGATACCGTAGGCAATTCTGATGTCAATCATGGTGAAACCAAGTCTCCACCATTAAAACCCCATGACCAAAGAAATAAGAGAACAAAATTAATATCTATACGCACAACAAAGTAACCATCTTGATATCGTTTAGAGACCATTATTTTGAATACTGGTTAATTACTGAATAATTGAAACAAGAAATTGAAGAATTCTGGGAGGGAATAATCAAGACCTTATCTTCCTCCAATTTTTGACGAATTTTTTCCCTGGCTCTTTTCTCTTCCTCTTTCTCTGCTTTTCGCAAGGCTATTATACTATAAGAGCAAAAGCAAATCCAACTCAATATCCAATTATAACATCAAATAACTATATAGAAGTGCACAGCTGAGGGCAAACCGTTTTCTTTCATTTTCTTCTTCAATGCGCTTTGCTTCAAGCAGTTCCTTACCGACCCGAATTCTTTCCTGTCATAGAGTACAAAGCCACATCACTGAGAAATTGGAGATAAATTCGCATGAACTAGTGTTTACAACAGAAAACATGGACCAATGCTTAATTAATAAAGAATAATAATCNGTGGGTAATCTGTAAATACAAAAAGCAATTATGGACATGCCTTTTCTCTCTCTCTTTCCATTCGTTTTTCTTCCTCTTCTTTCTTTTTGCGAGCCCGCTCCCTGGAATTTATAAGGTAATATAGCTTAATGGAAAAACAACAAGAAGTTGGTGTGCTTCATACCAAACAAACATGAGGACCTTAGGAGCAATGTGCAACTTTGGAAGCTGAAAATGTTCATGTAATGGCCACTGAATGGTTGATGAGTATGTACAAGTAACAGACTTCTACAGAAGTCTCATACTGGTCCTTCATAACACAACGATTTAGACTGCCAGGATACTCAAAATGATAGAATGCTTCATAATAAACCAAACAGTCGCAATGAGATTGTGAAATTGAAGTGATTAACTCATCTATTTGCGAAAATCTCCACTACCAAGCAGATTGTCACCATGCTCAACATTCTATAAAACATGTGTACTCTGTGGTTCACTTTTTAAAAGATTTGAATGATGAAAAATTAGAATCTCATAGTTATTGCCCATTTTAGCTAATTGATTGATATACCTGATACTTACACATACATCTTCCAATACAATCACCAGGTGTCATCATATTAGTACCCTTGAGAATTGTACAAAAGGTTTCCTCATCATTTAAAATCTGGATGACGTACATGCAATAATTTCTATTTTCAGAAGTAAACAGCATAGATATTGCATCAGGAATAAATGCGAGAAAAACAATTAAGACACTGTTTAATTTAGATAAAATCAAATTTTTAGTAAATTTTGATAAAAGTTGATTGAATGTACGGTTAAAAATTTGTAGGTCCCATGAAATGTGTGGTTATAATTTATTCTTGACTTTGACTTAATTTTAATTCACTTTTTAAGCTGAACTGAACAGGGGCTAAGTTTTACCTCAATTCTTGTTGTTTCTGATGAATTTCTTCTGGAGTGAGGGAAGGCTTTGGAGCCTCAGATTTCGTGGTGACGGATACCTTAGTAGAAAATAAAGAATTAGTATCCAATCAGTCAGAGTTAATCACTAAAGTGAGTAGAAAACATGCATTCTTCAATATACGCAAGCTGATATGGCACATTCTAGAGTATAATGTAGAAATGAACACAAAGGTAACTCACTGTAGAGAAACGAACCCCACAACCAATCCCACAAGGACCAAAAGCAAAAGTATAGCCCCAGTATGAGTTAGTTTCTTAATGATGTATTCTACAAAAAGAGATGTCATTGCAGGAAAGCATGATCAGCTGTCAAACAACACATGAATGGAGATCTCAAATGAAACATTTGAGAAAGCTAATCAAACATGGCCAAACAAATTATTTCCTATAATTTAGCAGAAAAATTTAAAAGTTTATACCCTTCTTAGGTTAGTAACCATCATAATCAACAAGTTCCAAACTTGTGCTGGAGACGAAGTAGGCATAAACAAAAAGAATAAAATCAAGCATGTCACCACCCTCTAGCAGATGGATTATAAGCCATTTCTATAGACAAGTCATGTAGGTTAATTTTATCAAATAGATGCAAACATGCCAGATTTAGAGAAAGTAACGGTATAAAATAAACATAAGATGCTAACATTAATGTGCACAATCATTACCAATGGCAATTGATCTATGTCTGGGTCATTCTCATGTTCAACTATCCAATTTGCAGCAGCCTCAATGCCAACATTGCCTGTAACACAACAGAATTTCAGAGGAAAATGTGCAGAAGCCAACATCTAGGTGCTTAGAAAAACATGTCCTCGAATGTAATAAAATTTATTCCCAGATTTAGAATGATTTACTAATCTGAAAATGATGTCAACAAATAAGCTAAAAAATGTTCAAAATTGGAAAAGAAGAATATATTTCATTTTCGGAAGACCAGTTCAGCACCCAAAATACAGAAAAATTGATTTATTTAAATCTAGTTCGGCAAAAAATATGGCACTACACTATAGGTACTATTCTAAGTTTATCTTTCAGCTTTCACCACTCGAAGACTTCCTTTAGAAAGATTGGAATGTATTCTGATTAGGTCATAACCTGTATTCATATACCTCAGTCTAATATTTCTGAGAAAATTTTGATAAGAATAGCTACACTTATCAGTCTTTTATCATAAACCTGCCAATCGATTTCTCAAGTAAATATATAAATCAACTTGTGCAAAAGAAAGAGTTTCTAATGATGTTTATCTTATGATTTCAATTACAGAATATAAGTTACATTAGGTACAAGAAGCCAACTTTTAGCATGTCACAGTTTAAACTACGTTTTTTATGCGCAATCATTCGTGTTCAGCAAAGCAACATAGATGTCCCACAATATGCAACAAATATGTCAAATTTAAAGCTATACATACTGCATTGATTAGATCCAGACTTGAGCATGACAATATTATGCACTGATTGTAAGTGTTTGGTTGCTTTTTAAGCTTGAGTGTACTGCTAGAAGTTATCTAGTCTATCTTAATGAAAGTCTCCCTCCTTTTCCAGCTGGGAAACCAACTTAAGTGATACCAATTATCTATGACTGACTTCTGACCCATCAGATCCGCAATGTCTTAGACATGTAGTTTCCACTTTAGAAAACGACGACTATGCATGCAAATTATTTTGAATAATCCATATCTTTACTTGATATGGCCACTGGAAAATAAGAGAGCTCTAGGAAGCACACGACTATTATTTTATTATTTTGATGATTGTCTAAATCCAATACCAATCTACCCACTGTATGCATACAGCAAGTGAATTAATGGCTCCAAACATAGTTTACAACTAAAAGCATACAGTTGGTCTATTTTTTTTTTTTTTTTTGTCATTGTACACATTAGAACAATTGCAATCAATATCCTCTAGAAAACGAACCCTCATCCAAGAAACAGTTTCCTGATAGCACACAATCATACTACTAAACAAGTGTGCCAAGCCTGATATTTGGAAACACCTCTCCAGGTGTGTACTGCGACAATATATGCAAGAACAATTGGTCTTCAACCAATGAGGTCTCTGGAACTTGATCTAGATAATAAGTATAGAACAGCAAATATTTGGGAAAAGGGAAAGACATAACATGAAGATACTTATATTAGAGAAAATCACCTGAATAGTGGAGTGCTCTAGTTGCCCTTTCCTTAGAAAACCCCATTTCCTCAAGTTGCATGAGCAACTGCTGATCAACTTCTGGAACAACCATTTCTAAAAGCCAGAAGGAAAATCAAGCAACCACATTACGAAAAAAAACCAGTAATCTCCAAAATGCAGTCAAAAGTACATTCAAAAAAAGACTGAATTTTAAACTTTAATATGGTAACATCTCAAGCAATTGCAATTTTACAATCTTTTCATTGATAGATTGACTCCCTGTTAAAGAATTAACCTGTATAACTTCAGATGGAAAAGAAAAAATTGACTTCATATTTTCATTGACATGTTATTTCCCTCTTTCCCAATTGGAATTTTAGTCAGCATCACTTCTAATCACTGCAGTTTAGATTGCCAAAGTCTTAATTTAGACATCAAGAAAAATCTTCATTTATTTAATCCTGCCTCAAGAAATATCTTTAATTATCAACTGATAATTGACAATTGCAAGATCAACTTAATATATACCAATAAATTAACAGTAGAGGGTAAATTAAACATAATGACCAGCTATGATGCACTGACACAGACACGTGTGTTGGACATGACACGTGTCGACGTGTCCGACATGTGATTTTTCAAAAAAGTATTGATATGAAGCGCGGTCGACACGTTGATTAAATTATTTAAAATTCTTCATATAAATTTAATTTTATACTGGTTATTAATTTCTCCTATTAAAATCTTTTAAATATGAGTATCTATTTGTTATTTAATAATTTTGAGTTAAAAACATATAATATTTCTAGTAAAGAAAGAAAAATAACTATAGTTGAGTGTCCGATGAGTGTCGATGTCGAACACACTACACTAGTTGAAGTGTCTGTGCTACAGAGATAACTAGCTTCAATCAAGATTTAGCATTGAGTATGTGGGTGCAATCATTACCTTCTTTGTTACTATTACTACCATCGCCAGCCTCCAACATATCAACGTCATCTTTTGGTTTTGGAGCCTCCAAACTTATTGGCTTTGCAGCCTCTGAAGTTTTGTCTGCAAACTCGGTGTGTCCTGTCCTCTTAGTATGCAAATCACTTTCCTTCACTCAGAAAAACAAACACATCAGCAACCCAAAAAGGCAAAAGCCCAATGTAGACTTGTGTTAAAAAACGATTATTCACAGCAGCCATTGCATAATGCAACAATTAATCCTTATAATCTCTTATACATGTATGTAATTGTAGCATACAGTAAAAGAAAGATCTCCAAAAACAGAATATTAATAGAATACAGCAAGCACATATGCATGCTTGATTTTATCTGGGTATTTGATTTGATACTTGTAGTTCCCAAGTAGCAAAGACATAATTGTAGTTATACCTCCACAAATACATGATATCAACAATGAAAAGACACAATTACATAAAAAAAAATACTATTTGAAATAGATTACTCTTAGAGCTTGTTTGGGGGGAATTTTAATCCAATTAAAATTGAATACATAGCCGTTATTGGATCCACTCGTCTAATAAAAGTCAACAATAACGACTAGTTTTTCAATTTTAATCTGATTTTAATCTCTACCAAACAACCTCTTAGTTGTGAGTATAAGTTACAATATTTCATATACTAATCAGATATCATTCTAAATTATTTCTCAATGGTATAGAACAACCTGAAAAAGGAAGCAAATTAATTTCTTGAAGATTCTACAATAATGATGAATCAGATTTATTTTCTTGTGATGGAAAGAAATAGCGGAACAAACTTTACCATTAAAATGACTGCCTACACTTCTTCAAAAAGAAGAAAAAAAAATATGTCTCCATATGATTTTATCCTACAACTATAACAATAGCTGGAGCTGCCACCAAGAAATCTTCTAATTATTTTAACACATAAAACTTCACATATTGTCTTATAAACACTGAAATGTTGAGTTTCATATTATCCAAGGTACTTGTTAGTTCAATAAAAATTTGATCATGCCCACTTGCCTATTTAAACTTCTATTGAAAAAAGTCAATGCAAGGAGCATAGATGGGGAAAAGTTCCCATGCAGAAACTTCCAGCAAAATAATTAACCAATGACTGAAAAGCAGTCATACAGTCCTTTGCACATTGTCAGTTCCTTTCGAACTGTAACAGATCAACTTACAGAATATCAGTTATATGAACTTTCACTTCCAACCCCTTTAACAAATATACACACATTACTTTCATATACAGATAAATAAGAAATTGAATAGAACTAATTCAAGATGTGATTTGTATCCACAAGCACAAGATTTTACAATTCCCATAGCATGCTTCAGATGCTGTGAATTGACACAACTGTTTCGGCTTCATATACTTACATTTTATATGTGCATATATTTTTAGCATATATCCACATATGTACAAAGGATGTTGTATGGTTGTTCAAAAATCAATAATAGTATGTGGAATGGAAAATGGAACCGGAGGCCTAAAAATTGGCCTAGATTTTTAGGGCCTATGCGACCGCATAGGCCGGAAGGCTTGCGGTCGCATAGGCCTTTGTAGGGTTTAAAGGCCCTGCTATTGGTTGTTCCATGCGACCGCATAAGGTTGTTCTATGCGGTCGCATAGAACAACAATATAGCCAAGATACCTGTTTTGTTTGAATTTCTGGTGACTTTTCAAGTGTTTTTAGCACCACTTTGTGTAGCCTTGCATGATGACTAATAAGAGGTTTATTATCAATGAAACATGATTAAAAAAACATAGAGAAACACTTGATATTATTTCCTCGTTCCAAAAAATATTGAAATTCATTTTCTCTTCATATTCATTTTGTGTTCTCATGTTCTTGAGGATTACACTAAGTGCTTAGGTGTTAATCATTTTTAAGACTTGATAAATCTTGCAAACAATTTGCCAAGATTTAAGCACCAAAATTCAATCCGATAAGGGGAAAATAACGTTTGAGGATTTACTGATACTAGTTGAATATCTAGTACAGGCAAGAGTAAATTTACTTTAGGTTGGGTGCTTACTCCTGGAAGAGGTACTGTTTCTTGGAAATCAAAGAAACAAACATGTATAATACACTCAATTATGGAATCTGAATTTTTAGCACTATTAGAAACTAGGAAAGAAGTTGATTGGCTTAAGGATCTACTTTATGATATACCTTTGGGACAGAAGAATACATCTACAATATTTATCATGTGTGATAGTCAAGCCACATTAGTAAAGACATACAATGAGATATAGGATGGAAAGTTTAGACATATGAGTTTAAGGCATGACTAAATAAGAAAATTAATCAAGAGTGGAATAATTTTCCTAAATTATGTTAAGTCAATGGAGAATTTAGCGGATCCTTTAACTAAACCTCTAAATAGAGATTCTACTTCGAGTAGGATGGGATTGAAACTCTAAAATTAAAAGATCCACCAATGATAGCAACCTCATCTGCCATTACTTAACAAGTAATTCACGGGTTCAAAGGGTAAAGCTAAGTCGTTCGATACGTGGATAGTTTCAGGATTATAAAATCCACAGTAACCATATCCTAATTATATAATGCTGGTTGCAACTGAAGTGAGGGTTGAGCTTTAAACTCTTAATGAAGTTCACTACTAAGTATAAGTATCTCTAAAAGTAACAAAGAAACTGAAAGAACTTCACCTAACTGAACTTCAAGGTGGTGCTGCCTCAAAAGAGAGTTAGAGTTTCTCTCTTAAAAGTTTGTTGAAAATTATGAGTGCAAGGTCATATCAGCGCTAAGCGAGATTGAAGAACTTGAGAACATTTAATACTTGTGTGTGATCTTACCAGTATTCTCATATGGAATAATTTGTTTAAAACTTTCGTGCTATCTTTAATTCCTACTTTACTTTGTTTAAATTAAACTATGGTTAGATACAAATCGAAAAATATTTTGAATATGGGATTTATTGAATATTGAACAAGTGAGGGATTATTGTATGGTAGTTCAAAAATTAATAGTACGTGGAATGGAAAATGGAACCGAAGGCCTAAAAATTGGTCGCATAGACAAGGAAGGCTTGCAGTCGCGTAGGCCTTTGCAAAGTTTAAAGGCTCTGTCATTGGTTGTTCTATGCGACCGCATAAGTTTGTAGCTATTAGAGGTCCGTTTTGTTTGAATTTTTTTTCCTAAATTATGTTAAGTCAATGGAGAATTTAGCGGATCCTTTAACTAAACCTCTAAATAGATATTCAACTTCGAGTAGGATGGGGTTGAAACTCTAAAATTAAAAGATCCACCAATGATAGCAACCTCATCTGCCATTACTTAACAAGTAATTCACGGGTTCAAAGGGTAAAGCTAAGTCATTCGATACGTGGATAGTTTCAGGATTATAAAATCCACAGTAACCATATCCTAATTATATAATGCTGGTTGTTACTGAAGTGAGGGTTGAGCTTTAAACTCTTAATGAAGTTCACTACTAAGTATAAGTATCTCTAAAAGTAACAAAGAAACTGAAAGAACTTCACCTAACTGAACTTCAAGGTGGTGCTGCCTCAAAAGAGAGTCAGAGTTTCTCTCTTAAAAGTTTGTTGAAAATGATGAGTGCAAGGCCATATCAGCGCTAAGCGAGATTGAAGAACTTGAGAACATGTAATACTTGTGTGTGATCTTACCAGTATTCTCATATGGAATAATTTGTTTAAAACTTTCGTGCTACCTTTAATTCCTACTTTACTTTGTTTAAATTAAACTATGGTTAGATACAAATCGAAAAATATTTTGAATATGGGATTTATTGAATATTGAACAAGTGAGAGATTCTTGTATGGTTGTTCAAAAATTAATAGTACGTGGAATGGAAAATGGAACCGAAGGCCTAAAAATTGGTCGCATAGACCAGGAAGGCTTGCAGTCGCGTAGCCTTTGCAAAGTTTCAAGGCTCTGCCATTGGTTGTTCTATGCGACCACATAAGTTTGTAGCTGTTAGAGGTCCGTTTTGTTTGAATTTATGGTGGCTTTTCAAGTGTTTTTGGCACCATTTCGTGTAGCCTTGCATGATGGCTATAAATAAATGGTTTAAGATCAATGAAACATGATTTCAAAAACATAGAGAAACAATTGATATTATTCCCTCATTCCAAAAAGTATTGAAATTCATTTTCTTTTCATATTCATTTTGTGTTCTCAAGTTTTGGAGGATTACACTAAGTACTCAAGTGTTAGTCCTTTTCAAGGCTGGATAAATCCTACAAACCATTTGCCAAAATCCACCAAAGTTCAGGGGCAAATATCATTTGACGACAACTATTACGTATTTAAGCATTGGATTCTTCTTTGCAAGTTCTTGATCATTTGTTTTTTGTTTCTTCTCCATTCCTCTTTTTGCAAACATTATTTTCCAACAAAGGAACCCGTAAATCCATAGACTGGATCTTTTTGTTTCATTTTCGAAGTTTCAAGTGGAGCGAAAAAAAATGTTTGAAGCCCACACAAAATAAGTGCAGTAATGATCTTGGGACAATACTTTTATAGTAGAGCCACTAACACGCTCACACTCATTATCGATCCCAACAGAAGTAACCTTTTCTATTTGACATTTAAAATGCGGAATTAAAAACAAAAAAAACAAAAGGGAACCCAGATAGTGATAAATTCCATATTATATCTCAATAAAGAATACCGTTTTGGATCGGCAGGGCTTGCCACAGGTGACGCAGACTAGATTGAGCACGGCTTCAGTGGATTCAACGAAATTGGCGTGTTTGGTCTGCTCGGCGTGCTCCTGCGCTTCCTCTACAGACTTTAATAGGGTTCCGCAGTCTCCGCATTTCAGTGATAAACCCGCCATTGTAGAGCTTCACACTCCACCGGATAATTATGAAAAAAAATCAGTTTTTTGATCGACTAGTTGATTTTGGGTTGTCTCTTATGGTGGAATTGGGGTTGAAGTGTACGCGTTCGGAGAGAGACTTGGAATTGTTATTGGGGTAAAACAACTAGAGGTCACTGAACTCTGCCAAACATTTCATTTTAGTCCCTAAAGTTTTTTTATGAATCATTCAAGTTTACCAAAAATCTCAACTTCGTCATTCGTCCATTCATCCATATATTAATTATGTGGTTAATGTTTTTGATAAGATGGCAATGGGCATGGCGGTGCTATGTGGCCAAGGATCATAGCGATGCTTAATGTCCTTGTTCTATTGGAGATTTTTGGGAGGTATAACGAAATTAAAATATCTATATTTCTCGTTTTGTCTACATATTTATTGATTTTGATTTTATTTTATTAAACACGGTTTACATTTTAAAATATATATAAATAATTAAAAAATAAAGCATAAGAATTGAGGTAGGGCGAGGTATTTTGCTCTCTCTAATTTTTTTTTTTTTTTTGCATGTCAACCCATATTAATTTTATTAACCAAAAAAAATAGCCTTTATATTAAAAAAAAAAAATTGTTTAGTTTTCCTTCAAAATTCATTATTCATACACGATTTTAACAATAACGTCCAAGTAGTTCAATTTTTTCCTCATTAGTCTTGGCTCATAAACGGCTTTATATAAAGAATAATTACCCATATGTTTTTTATAGGAATGATAATTTTATAAGGGAAAACTTTGATATAGTAACATCTATTTATATACATTAGGAAAATGTTAGCCATGTAATCGAATTTTGGATGGAATTGTTAAGTGATGACTAAACTGAGATATTAACTCTGTTTGACAATAATTAAAATGAGTTTTCTTTTTTGGAAAAAAATAAGTTTTTGAATAGTGTAAATAAGTTTTTGAATAATTATTTTATTAGAGAATGTGTGGTTAAAAAGTATGAAAGAAATTTGAATTTATGTGCAGAATATTTTATTTTGAGAATGTGTAATTGAAAATGAGTTTGAGAAAAAAGAATTTTGTTTTATTAATTGTCGAGCAGTGGCAATAAACTTGAGTGATTAAATTAGTATATAAAATAATTTAATGACTAAAATAAAAAGTCTGGCGAATTCAATGACCTCCGATGTTATTTACCCATTTGGAATTTGGTGGGGGCATGAGAGTGGCTTGCGGACGAGGGAAAGGACATGATGGAGAATCTCCAGAGTCAGTGAATTAGGTAAAGCAATTTTCCTAACAAGAAATTTATTAATTGAAAGAAAGTGAAAAAAAACATTATTTTAAAAGAAACTTTCTTTTCATTCAATTTAAATAGGAGGCCTTATTTTCATCCACCATTTTTATATATTTATTCATTTTTTAAAAAATAAAATTACATTTTTGACCTTATATAAATTTACTTAAATGGATAAAAATAAAAACAAATAAAATTTATCACTCTAAATTCATTCATTAATATTTATCCTCGTTAAATGATTTTGGACATTTTGTATTCTTGTATGGTTCCATGCTTATGAGACTAAAGCTTCTCCATCTCCTCTATTTTGGAGTCCCTGAATTTTTATTTTCTCCGTCATTTTTATTTTTAGTTATGAGATCTCTTTGTTGATAGAGGAACGACATATAAATGTCTTTTAAATTCAAAATTCATTTTGGTCATTATCTTGTTGCAAACTTTGTTTCTGACAATATTTTCACTAAGTAAAATATTCAACAAATCCAAACTTCTAGAGGAGAATAAGAATGCAGCTTTCTCTACAATATCATATACTTGTTTGGGTACATTTTGAATGATTTTTTTGCTTGTTTTCACCATCTATAGCAAATCAAGAAATGAAACTTCATTAATGTATAATAAAATAATTGCTTCATTTTGAATAGATTTTGCTAGTTTTCATTTAAATCATATATATATATAT